ACTGGAAACAAAAGAATTTCGCAAAACGGATCAGCGACTAACGATTTTGTAGTTTATTATTAGAAAACGTTGCGTTTTGATGTTTTATGCTATTTAGTGTACACGGTTGTATTTAAAGTTTAGCTGGCTAAATAATAACGAATATTGATTAAAATTACGTTTTCCGAAGATTTTAGTAACAAAACTCAGTAAAGAGGGGTCGCGGCAAAGTTGGGGCAAGTATAGATGATATCTACACTTGATATCTGACAACTATAAAACGACTTTCACAAAAAACGCTTTGATAAAAATCTGTAAATAGTTTTTCATTTTTAGATTTATAAGTATAACGCGTAGATAAACATACACGATAGATATGAAATTGATATTCAATATTTTACATTGTAATTTTAACGAACAAATAAAATAAAAAATGATTTAATTAAGAAAATCACTGATCAATAACAACATTTTGAATAGTACTTTAGAATGATAAAAATACCACAACACACCTCAGCACTATTGTATATTTAAATATTCATAAATTTCAAAATAACGGATCAAAATCATTCACAGACTAGTGATTTTCCTCTCCTAAAATTTGGTAAAGTGTCGGATTTTCAAAAAATATGTATATACCCTTAATGAAAGAAAAATACGCAAGGTTTTTATAAAATAAAATTGTTTTAACCCATTCCTTTATAAAATAAATAATTATAACAATTTAATGTTAAAAATATAAAATCTATAATTTAAAAAGGAAAATAACATGTTTTTTTTTTTACTACACTAGCCATTTGAACATAGAAGATAAGTCGTCAGGGCAACTTTTTTTTACTTTATAATATATAACATATGTTTTAATTTAACAAAATTTCATCATTTATGAACACTTTCAAAAGTTAGCTTATTATGCAGAACTTGATACAATTTGTGATGTTTTGACGAATTGGCGAACAAAATTGGTCCAGTGAGATCTGAGAAAAGTAGCAAAAGACACAAAAGTAAAATTAATACCCTCTCAGCTTCGTATTAATGTTGAAAAAAGTTAATATAACATAAAATGCACCTACGTGTTTAAATAACGACATTGGAACTAAATAATTCTGTAGTGTTGATTTTAAGTGACCGGCGTTTATATGAAATATTCAATTTCATTTTGTATTATGTGTTTGCAGTTGATAATGGTCACCGAAACACATATTCCCGATTTTTCAGTAAGTTTTGTGAATTTTGAGTTAAATATTTTTATAGTTTTAAATAATATTATCTACGAGTAATCAATTATTATTATGTTTTATTTCGTATTTAAAATGATTGAGTTAGATATTGTGAAGAGCGCAAGAAAATTTTTTTTTTTAAACATAGACAATTTCTCATGGTAATACCTTTTACAAAGAACCGTTGATAATTTTTAGAGACACTATTTCCATTTGGATTTATATTGAATTTTTGTATTTCAATTAAAGAATATTTAAAAAGAGATTTAGAAAAAAGTTCAACTCGAACATTTGAAAATATTACAATGCTGAATGATTTTAATCAGAGAATCGTTTAATTATGTATATCGATAAAGTTTTGTCACACTCGACGAGAGTTTATTTATTTATTCTTTAACCGATATAATCACCCAACTTTTGAAATTAAACGCTGAAAATGGAAGTTATGCGTGTTATTTAAGTTTTTAGAGAAAGAATTTCTCAACTTTTATTATATGATTATGTAAAATAAAACGATTTTTGTAAGTTAATTCAGTTCGGTGTTCGGAAAAAAGGAGATAAGTGTAAAATTGTAATTTTGGGAAAATGAAATTGAAACATTTGGTTTTCATTTAAGTTATATTTAATCACATTTTTTTCATGTAAATAAGTATTAATGTTTTAAATACTTATATTCTATGACTTATCTCATTATATCTAAACGTCAAGAATATTTTTATTTTATAATCGTAAATTCGCATTTTTCTATATATTATCCTTATTGCCCTGGACACCACAGAATCGTTAAATAATAAATAACAGTTATTAATTGAAAAGTGATTTTATTTTAATTGAATTTAAATTTAGCGTACTGTTGTCAAAAATAATTCCTCAATTAATGATTTGATAGTTACTCGAAATTTAATTTTCGTTGTTTTTATAACATAAAAAATCAATATATTGGAATTGGAAATGTTTTTTGTATTGTAAATACGAGATATTAAGTGAAAACGTTAGCCCCATGACTATTTTGGATATTTATTAAATTTTTCGATACATCATAAATTATTTAAATGATCCGGTTTGATGAAAATCCAATGCAGTATAGTTTTTATGGAGTTTAATTTGAATAGCTAAGTTGACGACAATATAGTTTGAGTGAAAAGATAATGCAAAACAAAACCGATTGTATAATAATTGAAATCGTTTTTTTCAACTGGATGAAGTTTTACGAAAAGAGAAATTTAATTGCGTTTTCTATCAGATATTAAACAGATCATTTAATTTTGATCATCACAAACCGGAAAGATAATAGCCGTGATCGTTTATTTTAGTAGCATATCGTGCCACAAACTTAATTAACAGATTTCCCACCATAATTTGTTACTACTGCGTTCCTTATATATTTGCATATTATATCTTTGTTGCGAATTGTTTTTGAAACCGGAAATGATAAAACGTCGAAGAAAACGGAACGCCTCTGACAAGGGCGGTGACGTAGACAGCAAGTCCCATAGCGACTGCGGACTATTAACGCCTAATTAAGATATCCAAAACATATTAATTAGACGGCCATTACGTCAGAACTCTTAATAATATTCACACTTCCGACATTTCCCATAGATAGCTCCGAACGTGCACAGGTCGTTAAGTAAATTAATAACACACTATCAGATGTTAAAATGCGTTGTAAATTATAAATCTTAATTATAACGGTATACCGAATGGTTCAAATCTAACTGACAACTCGTATAACTTTTGATGCAATTTTTTTTATATAGAATTATTGCATCATTAAATTACGTTAAAAACACATTAATATTTTTTTTATGATAAAACACATGCTTTTAACAATGTCTGAGAATGCCAAAATTTCATTAAAATAAATATTACATTGAATTGATAATTAAAATGTAAAAATTATAAAATAAGGTTCAAAAACCGTTTGATTTTTATACAAAACTGTATTCGTGGATAGTATTTTAAAAGTTTAACATTTTTATTTTGAAGGTAATGTCGAAAGTATCACTTACTATACAGTTTTATATATTATTTCAACCGAGTCCCTTTCTATTTGATCAAAGAAAATTCAAATTTAACCGACAAAAACGGTCAAACTAATAAATAAAACATTATTTGCGGATTTCTTTCGGAACTCTTTTCATATAAGTGTTCAAAATTATTATCCAACCGCATGTATTATGTAAATAATTTAGAGTTATTCTCACAAAACTTTTGACTTGCCACCTTTATACGACACCTATTTCTTTTTTTTTCTCCTAGTAAAAATGTTGTCACGAACAGCTATGTATGCGGATTGCACTCATTCAATGGATATTTTTCAAGCCTAGTCGCCTCGGAATGATCAGTCAGCGCTAGCACATTACTGCACGAAGGTATCGCATGAAGAGATATAGCAACAATAAAGTACTCGGAAACATGTGGTTTTAGATACCTGCGGCAGTATAAACCATCATCTAGAAAAAAAAATATTTTTTTCCTCGTACAACAAAATTTCGTCTACCAATACCGTTGTTTACGACGACGACAACGACATAAATAAAATCATACGAGAGAAAAGGGGTCGCAGTTGCTGATGCTGTTGTATTTTTGTACATTTTTTTTTTTTTTATTTGAAAAATCTCTGCGGCCACCGTTAAGTAGACTACGCTATTAACCGTCGTACTCGTACTATATTATTCATGACGACCCAAAATGTCAAGACCATAATTTGTGCAGTACTTGCAATGATTTTTCATTTAAATTTAATACAATTTGCGCCATAAATATCATTTTAGCGTGAAATTAAAATCAATTACTTTTAAAATTATTTATTACTTCTCTATCTGAGTAGTGTGCCATTAATTTAAATTCCAATGCGTTCTCGTTAGATTTCAAAAAAAAAAAAGACCCTTTAAAAGAAAATACTTATTTATTATTAGGAATAATTATAGAGAGACATTGCACGAATACACTGCGGTGAAAAATACGTTAGTCAATAAATAAGAAAATATACGACTTATAAAAAATTTGTTTTTATTAATCGAAGGTTGAAACAAAAAATATATTATAACTATTTTAATTTGAATTTTTTTTAAATAATAAAATATAAATGATCTAAATCTAATATGTAGAAGTGTAAATTATCCAATTATAGATTTCAACAGAAGCACGTGTCGCACTGAATATTACATTTAAGTTACCACATAAAGTATGCAATTACTATAATATTGGGTGTTGTTTTAATTTGTAGATATTTCTAGTAAACCAGAAAATTAAAAATTCAAAACACAGTCCGAACGAGTGCGTGAGAATAATTTATTCTCTAAGAGTTTTGTTAGATTCGTGTACGATCTATTTTATTTTAGCAAGAAAACCTAAGCACTTGTTGCTTATCTATGGCTTAAAATTTATTGAAAAATCAATAATTGATATATGAATTCCAATTGTTTTGTTTTATAATATGAAATATAATTTTTGTTGAGATTATTTGTGATATTTAATTCATTAGTATTATTATTACAATTGAATCCCGTTTACGTTATTGAGTTATAGTCAAGCTAAAAAACTAGATGAAAAATTATATAAACTACTTATGCTTATGTATTAGTGCTTAGAGATAAATGTTTTTATGTTAAAACTTAATAATTTATGTCTTTTTACAGTATTCAATGGAAGTATGAAAATCACTTGAATTTTAAATAATTTTAAAGTAAAACAATATGACTAAGAAAAATTAACCGGCGATTTCAGAAAATAATTGAATAACAGTAAAAACTTTAAGAGAATTTTCTCATTGAAAAAAAAAAGGTTTTTAAATACCTGAACGTTAGCGTCGTTAGAGGTCTGTACGATTTGTGGCTATTAGGATCAGCCATAGGAGTACCCCAGAAATCGTTGGTTACTACTTGTAAAATTGGATTTGTGCCTAAAACGTCTCCATTCATCGTAATGGCGGGTATATCATCATGTACGAAATCACCGTTGAGTCCGTTCCAGTAACTCAATATGACGGCCACAGCCACAGTCAAGTACACGGTCACTGCGACTTCGGGCCACCTATGCTGGCCCCGCCGGCTAGCCGAGTGCTTGCGACATTTATCATGGTGATTGTGATGGTGGTGATAGTGATGATGATTATATTGCGATACCCGTCTCATAGTCGTTGTCTAGTAGCGTCGTCCATCTGCTTGCGGATAGCGTAACAGTTTTTTGATTGGAAACTTTTATAAATGTTTGTTAGAAATATTTATATATATTAAAAAAAAAAAAAATAGTTTATAAGAAATTCGACTAGAACAATAATCGAAGTCGCACGTGTAACGGAAGCGTATTTATTTTCGAGGACGAACGTCGACGGTCGTGACACCGGTCGTTCCATCGCGAAACTGAACTAACGCACTGCCGGCAGCCGACGAAGCTTTGGCGACGACGACAACGCCAACACGAGTTGGCGCGCGCCCTAACCTTAAGGACCGTAGACAGAGGTCGGCCATCGAACGTCTACCGTTACATATCAAACAACGCAATATGTTCTATACTGTTTGAGTGCAATACAACAAGCTGTTGGTTAGTACACCACGTGACGGGTATATAAGTAACGCCCAAGCTTAATTTTAATATTCAAAAATATCATTCGTATAGACATTGATTTTCTGAGCACGTTTGAAGCTTATAAAGCTTATAAAGATTTAAATGTAATTTACTCCCTAAATTACATTATGTCAGCTAGATATCTAAATTATTGGGGAATTTATCTCTAACGATGGCCACCCATCCGGAAACTAACAACAAACAGTATAGCTGAACATCAGCGCTATGACGGCGATTGAAAGATCTATTGCGCCACATCACACCCAAATAAATACAATAACACATCATTTTATTTATAAAAATAAGGTTCCTTATATTGCAGAGAAAATTGTCGAAGGGAAAAATATTGTCATTCTCCCTTCTCTTGCTGATTTTATGATTTAACACACATTATAATAAATCATTTAATTAAAAAATTGACTGGATGATAACTATTGAACTATTGATTTAGAAACAATAACGTTTCAAAATGATGGCTGAAAGTGAGGTAAGTGTCTAATTATTTTTAATATTAATCATTCTGCGTTTTGCTACTACTCTCGCTTAGATATAAAAGTAGTAATATAATCTGAAAGGATGGTTCAAAGTTGTTATCAACCATTGTATTTTTTTAACTAGATTATATTCTAATCTTAAAAAATAGTTCAATTCGTATGATCGATTTGATAAAATATTTAATGATAAATAAAAAAATATATTTAACAAAAAAATTTTAAAAATATATCTAAAAGTATTTTTATTTTGTAAGTAAATGTAAGTGTAATGATAAACGGATCATCTTATAATAAGTTAAGTAACATACTGACTATTGATTATTTAATTTATTTTTGTTTTTTTAAGCTTGACTTGCAATTTTTAAATTGATAACAAACATCTGCTTGTTATTAATTTATTGGTTAAAAAAATTTATGTAGTTTATTTTCTGTTCTAAGAATGGTAATAGTATCCCTATCTTATATTTTCTAGTTTCTCTTATTAAGGAGATACTAATTTTTTCTTTTTGATAACCTCTTTTTTAGCTCTTTACATTATGTAAAATGAAAATGGGGGAAAAAACTAATGGTACTAATATATGATTTAATAGTGTTACGTCATGGGCATAGTATAAGAACTATGTATACTCGTGTATTGATAACGCCTTTATCGAAATACAGTACTGGGAGTATGATGAATATACTGTTGCATGAAGAAAGTAAATACAAGGTATATTATATCTCTTACAGCATCACTACATGTAATAATAAGAGTATGATATATTAAATTAGCCAATAATAAACAAAACGTATAATGAATAAATATTTTTAATTAAAAAGCAATTTTTTAATTATTGTCGATTTCATTTGAAATTAAATTTGTGCCCATGTTATCTCTTTGTATCTCAAACACACTCATATCAGAGTATTAACTGTATATATTCATAAAGATATATGAATAAGGATATATACCTTACACAGTATTGGCTTCTATGTACTGAGCAAGTGTAAAGAGTATTGCCTCTTCAGTATATATTTAGCGTATGTTCTTATACTAATAAAACATTAACGAGAAGTTTTGAAACAACTAGCAACATTTACATTGGTAATTGAAAACTACATACACTATGAGTCGAAGTTTAAGAAGTTTTGCGAGTAGTTTAACTTTATAGACTCACGAAAGTACACACAATACTTAATATATTTAAAAAATGTAATATTATTGCGAGATCGACATTTTCAATTTTGTATAAAAATAAGTAAAATTTTATACAATTTTATAATTAATTTATGTTCTTTGAGTTTGTGTATTTGTAAAGGCTGTTTTGGATTTATTTTTCATTTCTTGCCTTTAGCTGTATCATTAATGGTGTTATCTATATCACGCGAACATAACACAAAATAAAAAATAGAAAACACAAAAAATGTGACGTAAAGTAATATAGTTTTATTATTTTAGAAATTTTTTTTTTTATATATTGGATAGTAAAGTTCACAATGAGTATTTTATCCATGTCCCCAATGAAACATCAAGTGTCAACCACAAAACAAATAAATAGTGTCTTCTTTATACAGTTTATTGAATTTCTTATCAAAACGAAAATATTTTACACATTACGACTAATGTGATGTATGAAATAACTAAAATTGATTACTTAAATTACAGTAATGATTTTTATTACGTACGGTACACGCTTCTTTAAAAATATTTCATATTCAATAGTGCAATACATTTTTTCTACAAAATTAAAATAACGGAAAAGTAATTTCAATTATGTAGGATGAAAAAAATTACCTGAACATATATTTAAAATGTCCTTTATCGAGTGTACCCTAAGCTTTATATGGATATATTTGCACATTTCAACGAATGTTGCAGCATAAGAAAACACAATGCAATCGACCAAGTATAATAATGTACAGGCCTCCGTTGTCAATTGATGAATCATACTTGAATTTTGCGTTTTGTGATTTAAAACTCGTTAGTGTTAGCGTTATTGGAAGATAATTAATCATAGTCTAGAACAACAGTCATTATGACACAGTAATCTATTTATTCTCATTGGGGCAATAATGTTGAACAGAGAGGATTATCGTCATTCGTCTTCTTCCACAGTATCTTACTAACAACACCTGTTCCTGTTTGTTTATCCTCCTTAAATTAGCCGTGAATAAATAAGACCTGCTAGTAAATAAGAATGAACGGGCGGCGAGAACGCGGAAGAGGTTATGACGATAGCGCTTGTGGCGGAAGCGATCGCACAGGCGTAGGTTATAACTGAAGTTCAGCACCGATATAACATCCATGTTATTGTTTCCTACCCACCCCCCAGCAGTTCTCTACGCGATCGAGTGTACCTATCGTATAAACACTGTTTGTATACATTATATATAAACGTGTACGTATAGAGTTTTCATATGTATACGAATGCAGTGCGATCATCAAATATTTACGTCCAGCTACTACCACCACGGGGCGAGGGTAAATTAGAGAAAACGGCTGCTGGAATATCGTGAGGTGAAGCAATGGCAAAAGAATATTATTCAGAAAATCAAGCGAAAAACTCGCATTATGATATTCTCTTGTTACAAGGAAACAATAATAAATGCTATTGAACAAAACACATAGTGCAAATACAAGTGTAAATTATTTATACAACGTACTGTAGTACTTTCCTCCTTAACAGTTTAAACATTACTCTCGTAGTTATTTCAAAAAAAAAAAAAAAACGAACAAAAACAAACACGAAAAACCGTTAATAGTTAATTCGGCTTGGTTTATTATTCGAAAAACAATTTTACACTCAATAATTGACGTATTATTCGCGAGGTATTCAATATACAAGAATTGAATGTGCAATCATTTATAATGCTTCAAGATGTTGTGTAAAGTTAAAAAATCCAAAAGTACATCAATATAACACTAATTGCTATAATTACTGGCGTTTCGGACGAATCAATAATTTATCGCGATGTGATGTAAAAAAAAAAAAATTCTAATATTAATTACTGAACTAGTCGTCTCAGAATGTGTTCATTATTCAACTGTTCCAATTAAATAATAATTTTTTTCCTCCAAAATACGCGGCAGTTTATAACGTTTTCCGAGTTTTAATTAACGCTTAACCATATTTATTTATTCCGTTACCTTAGTGTTGTTCGTTTAATCACTGGTTTTAAATTACATTAACCCTTTTTAAGCTGCCCATAACAAAGGACTTGAAGTTCAGCTTGTATTTTTTTTTGTAATTAAAACAGATGAATGAAATGAGTTTCAACATTCAACTATACGACGTTTCAAAGTGCCGAGCAATTATTTTTCAACTTGTTATTCACACGATGGCACAGTTAATAACAATTTCATTGTGAAATGCAAAAAATATATTTTCGACCAATGTGATCGTAAAAAAATTAATTATAAATTAAACGTACGTTAGTATTCCATTGATAATAAAGAACACAGCCTAAAATTTGAAATATATCAGTAATTTATGAAATTATTTATACAATGGTAATTTTTGCCAATGCTTTGAATCTACGCAGTATAAATAAATTTGATGCAACCCATGAACCTCTATAATTTATTATTCATGCTCAGTACATGCTTTTGAGCTTAAAAATGTTGTTTAATAAATTATTTTTAAATTGTTCAAACAATTACGTGGACAACTTTTTTTTTGTGATTAGTTGTCATGACGTTTGAAAAGTAGGGACATATTTAATTTAACGGCGGCAATTGTATTTCACAAAAAATATAGGTACAAACACGAAATCAATTACTGCTACACTCATTAAGCACCACACTGCTCATTCAGTCGCTAATTCATTCCTTCATTCTCAAATAGCCAATTGAAAGCACAATCGGTAATTGATGTGCTCGGCCTTCACCTTTTCTTTAGGCAATAACAAATTACTCTGGTATTTTAAAATCAACACAAAAGCTGGAATTAAATATATATTTTTTTTACTTTTTGCTTGGTCAAGACAATAGAAGAAAAAGAACGCTTCTGTTCAAACAACACTGCTGATCTCATTTTCCTCATGAATCTACTTTGTTTTCACGTTGACGTTAAAAATTTTCCACACCAAATGATTTGTTGAACGTTGACGCGGTTTTTTTTTGTAATATTTCTGCACAGGAAATGTCTAGTCGCTGTTAGCGTTATTGTTTTATGTCTGGTCGAATACTTTACAAATATATATGTGAAAAATGACGTTTTATTCTATACAATTTGTCGTCAAGCTTTACCTCCTTTCAATTCACATAACTTAGAACAAACCTTTTTCCAGAATATTAAATTGTATTCAATTATAAGATGTAATTTGTTTAGTCATATTAAATCTATATTTTATTTTCAAATATTTACC